GCAGGCGCCGAGCGAGGACTTTCGGCCGGAGACAGGCCTGGCCGCCCTGCGCCGGGAACTCTGGCGAGCCTGTTTCCGATGGCCGCGCGGCCGGCCTGCGAGCTCCGAGAACTGATTGAAGTTGCAGAGAAAGTTCTGAGACCCGCGCGGGCGGCCTGGCCTGTCGCGCTGGCTTTTCATCGGTGTGGCTGTCGGTTTTCTCACCGACTGACACCTGCCAGGTGCCGCAAGGACCCGTCTGGCCACCGGGGCCCCAAACAGTGGCCTCCGAGGGGCCGGCTGCGGGGGGCCGCCGCGGAGGACGGGGTTCCGGGGCGCGGCGTGGCGGGGCCGCGAGCTCGAGCCTCGGTTGTGCACACCCTTGGGGAGACCGAGGGCTGGGAATCTTCTGCAACTTTTGGTGTGTCCCAAGGGGTGGAGTTGAAGTCAGGAGGGCTTAGGAAACCTAAGCGCCTGTGAAACGCTACACATGTTCTTTTAATTTGGAGATTGCCATGTGGTTTTTGAAGCAAGTCTCTCGCTACCTAAATCATCATCCTCAGACGTGAGTGTTGTTTGTCTGGAGTGTGGCAGGGCCGGTGGACATGGCCAGCGAGGCCCGTGCTATGGGGGTGCTGTTTTGCTGGTGGCGGTTTTTTTTGGGGGGGACCTTGGGTTCCTTTGTCTGGGCCTCTTTAAGGCAAACAGCTGTCTCCCTGAATATTTCCAGGGTGGACATTACAGGGAGGTGTCCTGGCCTGGCTCTGTGGTCACATTCCCAGTGCTGCGGCCCCTACATTGAGGTTTGGGGGGACCGAGAACGGATGGTTTCCTCAAGTCCTCCTGCCCCCCAGTCTAAGCCTAGAGACTGTTGGCGGTTTCACCCCAACTTGGTCTCTCTCAGGAGTGTTTTTACATTTCTCGGCCGTGTCAGATCCTAGCAAAACAAGGTGACGACCAAACAATGACAGTATCTGGGGAGTTGAGGCCAACGTGCTCCTTTTCTTTCCGGAAATGCCTGGATCACGGAGGCAAACGGATTTTTTTGGGGAAGATGTTTGTTTTAAAGGTGGGGTTTCTCAGCCGGTTCTGTTGCTTTGCATTTCGTTGCAGTTTTGGATTTCCTGTAGCTTTTGGGGTGACGTTGCCAGAGGCAAATGCCTGCTGTTGTGCAGTTCAAGCCCCCAAGGAGAAGAATCCCATCTGCGGAGCTCAGTTGTATGTGAGGCAGAAATCGAGTTGATTATTTTAACATTAGGAAGTATATGAGCCTGAGGTTTTCAGAGCTCGGCCGGCGGGGTGACCCAGGCCTAAAATGGAAGGACCAGGCGGCATTTGCAGAAGTGCTGGGACTGCTCTCCATGGGCTATGTCCCTGATTCCTGGGCTCGATTTATGCCTCCGTCCAGACTGAAGCCAGTAAGTTGGTAGCTAATTATTTTTCCTGATTGCTTCCTGTTGCAATTTGAAGCTCTGAGCCCACTGAAGTGCCTTTGTTCTCGAGGTTCCCTTGCTGGGAACGGCCCAAGGCTGCTCCCCTCTGGCCCCACAGCACTCACTCCAGGCCCGGCCTGTCCAGGATCCCCCAGGGAGGTTACTGCAGATGCCCAGGGCCTGGCCACTGGGAGGGTCCGGCTAGTGGGTGTTAACTAAATGGTGTGTGGAGTCCACTGAGACAATCTTCCCAGCAAACGTCCTTTCCAGAGCAGGGCCCGCGTGCCTGTAACCCTCCCGTTTGGATCCAAGAATGTACCCAGTCCATCCATATGGTCCAACACTTGCTGTGGAGATCCTGTCCTATTTGGAACCCGTCTAATTTCAGCCGCACTGTCTCACTGCTCAGGCATGTAGCAGAGTTTGCACACTGGTTGGGGAGGGGGGTACAGTCAGGTGAGGACTCCGCATGCAGGACTCCTGCTGGCAGCGGCCGCTCGCCAGGGCTGAGCAGGGGCCTGGGGTCAGACCCACCTGGTGTATGTGCTCAGCAGCTGGTTGACTTTGGACGACTTATTTAGCTTCTGTGTGTTCAATGTCTTCATCTGGTTCCCCCGATGCTGGGCGTTTGGGAGCATTACATGCCATATGTGAAACTCTTAGCGCCATCCCTGTCCCACATGAGGGACTGGTGGTGGCAGAGCCGCATGCAGTGCCTGTTGTGTAACAGGGGCCTAGATCTTGCCTGGAAGGTTTAGAAGTTGTTGTTATACACTCTGGACATTTCTTCTGCGTGTGACCTTGGATATCTTGTCTGCTGTCTGACTTGTTGATTGCTGACATCAAGTGGGGTGCCTTGGAGTGGTTAATAGCAAGGACATGGACCCTGAGTGGTCCAGAGTCTTGCTACTTGCTTTTGGGGGGTTGAGGGAGAGCTTTGTGTGACTCAGTTTTCTCTTCTGTAAAATGGGCATAATAATACTTCCTACCACGGATTCAGTGGAACAGCAGCCTGGCACTGGATCAACTTCTGCTGTGGTTGGTGTTACTCTTGGGCATTTGTGTGAAGTGTTGGGATAGACTAGGATAGAAAGGCGGTGAGGCCAGTCTTTGCTGCCAGCTGTTCCTGACTGTGGAGCCAGGAGAGACCTGGGCCTGGGGCCTCACCCTCACGGACCAGAGGTTCTCCATTGAGAGAGGCTGGATCACACTGCAGAGTCTGGATGTGTGCCAGAAGGCGATGGAAGCTTCCGGAAGGCTTTGGTCACAGGGGGATAGGAAACACAGGCTGGAGTCAGATCTGTTCTAGGTGAAAGGTGTTGAGTTGATTTTTTTTTTTTTTAGTTGAGATGAAGTACACATAAAAGTAATTTTTTTTAAAGTGCACAATTTTGAGGCATCCTAATATATAAAAAGCCAGGGGCCATCACGACTGAAACAACCGGACTGACAACCGAACAGCAGGCTGCGTGCGGTCACAAGGCCGGCAAGGGGGTTGGTGAGGGACGACCAAACAACTGAACAGCAGGCTGCGTGGGGTGACCAGGCCAGCAGGGGGGGGGGGGCAGCTGGGGGCAACCAGGCCTGCGGGGGGTATTTGGCAGTTGTGGGCGACCAGGCCAGCAGCGGGGGGCAGTTGGGGGTGACCAGGTTGGCAGGGGAGCAGTTAGGGGCGATCAGGCAGGCAGGCAGATGAGCAGTTAGGAGCCAGCCATCCTGGATTGTGAGAGGGATGGCCGACTGCCAGTTTAGGCTGACATTCCGGGGATTGGGCCTAAACCGGCAGTTGGACATCCCATGAGGGGTCCCGGATTGGAGAGGGTGTAGGCTGGGCTGAGGGGACCAATTTTGTGCACTGGGCCTCTAGTTTAGTATAATCACAATGTTGTAGGATTAACCACCATTTCTGCCAAGTCACAAAACATTTCAGCACCTCGAAATAAGCCTCGGTACCATCAGACAGCACCTCCCCGTTCCCTTGGCAGCCGCCAGTCCGCTTTCTGTCTCCGTGGAGGTGCCTGCCCTGGACTTTTCATGTCCATGGGATCATATGGTGTGGTCTTTCTTGCCGGCTTTTCCTCTTTGGTGTCAGGGTTTCGAGGTTCGGCCACATGGTAGCATATGTCAGCGCCTCATTCCTTTTCACGGCCGAGCGATCTCCCATTGTGCGGGCAGAGCACATCTTGCTGTCCCTCGCCCGCCGGCAGGTTGATCTTGCTGGGTGTGGGCTGGGGGCCGTGGTGTGGGCTGGAGGCCCTGGTGTCCCCCTGGGGCTGGGACGGTGAAAGCTGTTTTAAGCTGGGCCAGGACCTGGGCAGATTAGCCCTTAGATCCTCCTGCCTTGATTCAGAGACGTGACAGCTGATGGTGAAGGGAGCCGAGGGGACAAGCTGAGGGCCGGTGCTGGCCTCCAGGGAGGGTCTCTGGTCAGTGTGACAGGAGCCCTGAGAGAAACTGGGCCTCTGAGGCCTCTCCCACGGCCACTCATGCTCTCAAAACGGGAGGCTCCGATGGCAGCGAGGGGCTGTGTCCAGCCCTCACCTCGGGGCCTGTTGCCACATGGGCTCAGACGGTGGTGTTGTGTCTGCTGGAGACGGGTCCCGTGGGCGTCCTGGGGACAGCGCGGTCCCAGTGCTGACACGCGGAGGCAGCTGCTTCGCACAGGGAGCGGCCCAGGGTCCCGCCTCCGGGCCT